GATCTATCAAAACGCTAAGCTCAGTGGCATAAGCACCTGCCTGGCATGTGCAAGGTCCTGAGTTTGATTTCCACTACAGGGAAAAGAAAATTTTAAAAAAGCTCAGGAAGTCTTGGAAAATATCACGAAAAAAATGAAAGGTAAATCTTTTCTCAATTATGTTGCGTTGGTGGCCATGATTTAGAACCTGATATAGTGTCTTTCCTAGGGTCTCCTTACACTGCCTGCCTTGTGGGCCAGTTTTAAAATGTGGAAGTGTCGCTTTTTCTGGAACAAGGAGATTAACACCCAGGAGTGGGGATGGGTCGTGGCTTTTTCCCCTTTACAATGCTGAACTTGTCCATTCTACCACTGCCTCTACTCTGTCCCAGGAAAAGCACCATGCACCTTCCCCTACCCTGGCTAATATATGTTGCCTGGCTAGAGATTCGGGACTTTTCTGTCCCCGCGAGATAATCATCCCAGAATCATTGTCATAACTTCCACTTAGTTTTCACTCTTCTTTCCCACTGTGTCCCATAATTTGGGCAGAAGATTGTGCCCTCACTTCAGGAATCCTCAGTAACTTACACTAGTGGGGCTGGTGTGGCATGTGGTGCCAGGGATTGAACCATGGTCCCTGCGCTTTGCCTAAGCTTGCCTAAACAGGTACTTTAGACTGCTGAGCTATCTCACTGGCCCTGTTGTTCAAAATTTTGAATTAGCTTCTATAAGTCACTTTTGTACTCTATCATTTTAGCAACACACAATGCCCTGAGACATTTCCGGAACCTTCTGGAGTGGTACTGTCTTTACTGACAATGCAGATTATCTCTGAGTTCCCTTTCAACATAACACAAAGTGTTTCTCTAATTATATAAAAATAATAACTTGTATCTTGCATGATTCTCAAAATTCAGACTGACTTGAAATCTAAAGTATAAAAAGTGGAATATCCATGGCTTGAGAATTACATTAGCAAGTTGACTGGTAGATTTAGAGCCTGTCATTTTGAAGACTAGTGTTAACTTGAAAAAATTACTCAGCCTATTTTTTAGCTTCCCTGTCCATGATATATGGATAACAGTATTTCCTACCTCAAAGAACTGATACGTAATGATATAACTTAAGCTGTTACAACTTCATAATGCTGCTAGAAAGGTAAATATATGTATGGAAGAAGCAAACCTGTCTGGAATAGACCTACCAGATCTACTTTTGTAACAAATGATTAAATATATAATTCTCATAATGTTTAGAACTTTTAAGTATATATGACTGTTGTCTGCTTTTTGCAATTTAAAATGATTTTTGCCAATTTAACAACTTTGTGTTTAAAATATCATAAGTTTTGTGACTGAGCCTCACATCATCATTGACTTCCTGTTTGTCTTTCGTCTCTTTCATTAAGTTTGGAAATATTTGGGATGGACCTGTAAACATCCTAAGCACCTACAGGATATTTAATGATGCAATCCTGTGAAAGGATTTAACTGACCTTATTAGGCTTAGACATTGTCTGTGTGTCTGTTCTTTTAAAATTACATAGTCCTAGCCTTCATGATTAACACAGCATTTATGAATTTCCAGGTATTTCTGTCCAGTATATCAACTCTCCCCTTGGCAAAGATTTCTGTCACTGAACTACAGTCTATCCTTAATCAAATTTAAAGTCAATGTTTTGCGATTTCACTTATGCAAAATAATTGACATAATACACAGCAAAACAAATCTTGATATAGTTTATTATATTTTCATTAACACATAATATCTATACACTTTTATGGGGTACATGAAAATAATTCCACACATAACATGAGCAATCAAAAAATCAAGGCAATAAGCTTTTTCTCTTTAACTATTAATCATTTGAAGTTTCTGGAATTTCATACTCTTTTGTGCTCTGATTTTGGAATATGTCTCAGATTATTTTGATCTAGTTACTCTACTGTGCTAAAGAACCAAAAGTAATTTATTCACTGTAGTTCTACATCTAAATAAACTGCTTTCTGTCTGCTTCCCCTCTACCATTTTCAGTCTCTAGTAACCATATTCCATTCACTCCATTATCCTGGAAGAGTGACTATTCCCACAAATGAGTAAGAACATGTGAAATATTGATCAATTTTGGGACATTATTATTATTATTGCCACAATATGAATGCCTTTTAAAGGATTATGAGGGAAATAGTAATAAAATTAAAAGATAAAATTAAGGCATTATAAAATTGTACCTTTTATACAAAATTATTTAATTTTCTCCTGTATTATAAAGTATTTGGAGTGGAAGATCCAAGACATCCTAGTATAAAGTTTTAAGGATTACATAATTAGATTATCAGATAGTTCTATCTATACGAATACACACGGTAACAATAAGGTGCAAAAGAAGAAAAAACAGTACATTTGCTTTTGGTAAACAAATGTGGCATGTTTTACTTTATTTAAGACTATATGTAGAAACAATCAGTGAGATGATCTTTATGGTTCCTTAAGTGTTTATTATAATTTAAATTTTCTTCTTACTCATTACAATAATGAGAAATTTACAAATTGTTGCAAAAGAATATTAGCACATTTCACTGACATTTAATGAGATCTATTATAGTCCAGTGTTTACTTCTACAGTCATTTCTACCTCTTCATGATGCTAATTGGGATCTCTTCCAAAACACATTGGGCCATTCATGCTGTTTGTTGTGTTAAAATGTTACATTTGCCAATTACCTTCTAAATTTGCACTAGAGTTAGCTTCTGTTTACATTCATTAAATTCACTTCAGCATTTTAACTTTTCAGCAAACTAGAAGATCCCTCTTTTGCTATAAAAGTTGCCAATTGCAAATGCCTTTAAAAACTAAAATATCTGTATAAATGAATCCATATATAACTTCTTTCTGGTATCAGGGGAAAAATCAGAAGGCTCTAGAAATTATGCTATGAATTCCAGGAGACATATAGGCACAGAAATGGGGAACTGCGATGGAAAAAAATTGAATATTTAGAAATATGTATGTTTTCATATCTTCTGAGAATACTACTTTTCTCTTATTATTTTGAAATGTTATATGAAAGTATTTTCTGAAGTGGCACCAGAATCTGAGTACACTGCTTGGAGTTAAACACCATTTTCACTACTTTGTATATATATACAGTAAAAATTGTCTAATCAAAGTATGTTTTTCTTTTTGTTACATTTTATCCATGAGCAGAAAGCTAACTGTAAATAACAGGATACAAATTTTATTTATATATTTACACACACACATCCTTAGAAAGGCTATGTGTATGGATATTTATTTCTTGTTACTTGACTGGCTCACACTGGGTAGACGTCATTGCATTTCTTGGTCCTGCACACTGATTCTATAGTTTTAGGAATTAAAGCTAGAACTATTGATACCCAAACCTGCTCGTAGATATTTGCCTCTATGTCTATATTTGGCAACTCCTACAATTTTACAAAAGAAGACAACTGTCTTCACAGTACTTGAGCTCTATTTTGCTTCCATCAGAACCAGTCTGGCTTCTTTTGAGAGATCTCACCATAATCAGTAGGCTACAAAACGATAGCAAAGATAAAATTAGCCTTCAGCACCTAGACCAGATCTGTTTCATATTCGTCTCTGTAAATTATCTCCCTAAGAATGTAATGCATTTTCTAAAGATTATCTAGACGTTTAAATACTCGATTCCTTTTTCATCTATTCATTACAGACTTTCTTTAAAAAGCACCTATCGTGAAAGAGATGTACATTTCACGGGCAGATACTTAGATTCATGATAAAAGTTAGAAAACGGCCTTCTTTCCTCATACAGGTACCACCAGTTGTTAAATCCCACAGAAGTGACCCCAACTGGTATTGTTCTGAGTTCACGCTTGGTGTCCAGCACAGAAACGAATTTAAAGCCTGTTTTTAAATTGAGTGAACGTGGCCCACGCGTAGCAGCCACGCACCGGCTCTAGTCCCGCCAGCTAACGTCGTGCGCCGCCCAAGCCTCCTATTCCGCCTTCCCAACTAGCTCCAAGTCTGTCCAGAGCTGGCATCTAATCTGTCTCAAGTCATTGAGCAGGACCTTTCGTACTCAACATTAATTCTCGGTAACTCCAAGAAAATTTGTGAAAATCAGTGACTGGTCACTCTTTCAGAATAAGTAATAATGAGAAAACATTAGTAATATAAAAGGTATAACCGGATTGGTTTACTGTAAAGAAAGAAGAAAACAGTTGAGAAGTTAAGACTCCTCGGGCATCAGCTCAGCCGCGCGGCGTACTGGTTGCCGTAGCGACAGCGAGCCCATCCAGCCAATTCCGCGCCGCCCCGCCCGCCAGGTACGTCTCACGATACTTGCCCAGCTCCCCTACAGCTACTTCCGCCCTAACCTGCCGGCTGGACTGGGGTCCTCACAGCCGAGCTTACACGTGGATTGCCGTACTACAAATAAGGACAGAAATACTTGTAGTTAAAAAAGAATGCTTTCCACATCCACGACACTTTGGTTTCAAAAATCAAAACACAAAAGCAGTCGGCACTGTGTAAGATGAAGGCCAAGCCTGGCGCAAGCGTCGGCCCGATTTTCGGGCAGCGCTCTGGGCAGCTGCGGCCTGGAGGCCCCCGGCGGCGAGGGCGACGTGGCGGGGCGGGCGTGCGGGCGGTGCTTCCTCCAGGGCCGGTAGGGTTGGGGCGCGCCGGGTCTGGCCCGTCCAGCAGGCCACCATGTAAGTGAGTGCCGCGCGGATCCGGCCCGCCCGCCGCGGCCCCCCGTCCTGACCTTGTCCCCTTGCTCCGCAGGTCGAAGGTGTCCTTCAAGATCACGCTGACGTCGGACCCGCGGCTGCCGTACAAAGTGTGGGTACCGCCGGCGGGCGGGCGGAGAGGGGCGGGCTGCGGGATCCCGGGAGCCCCGTGTCCCCGCCCTGGGGCCGCGAGGAGGCGCTGGGGGCGGGCCTGCGCGGGACCCGGAGGGCAGTGGGCGCGGGGTGCGCTGCTCGTGCGGCTGGAGGGCTCGTGGCGCCACGCACGCCGAGGGCCTTGGGCTGGTTCTGGCTGCCGAGCTTCCTGTCGTGTGTCGTGCGCGGGTCAGCAGTGGGCACCGTGCAGCAGGGGGCCTCAAGTCACGCGTTTCCCGCGGCGGACTGACTGCCAGCGCCGTCGGAGCGGGCGTGGGGTAGGAGGGCCTGTGTCCCGCGAGCCTGTTGCTTGCACGGCCGGGACTGCGCCTTCTGGGAACGTGCCTGTCTGGAGCTTCCTGCGCTTCCGCACTGATACTCTTGAGGCTACTTCAACTGAAAATCTCATTGAGTGTGGGCCAAAATAGGACTTAAATAAAGTTTTATGGAGACTTTCAAAACACCAAAGGTAGAGATTCTGTTGGACCCAGCTACTTCCCTTCCGGGTGTCCCACCAAGTGGTATGAAGACCTCATCTGTGCCATGCTGTAGGCACACTCGTGTTTACAGCAACCTCCTGGAGGGCTGTGTGTTCATTAGCAGATGTGAGTGGACAGAAAAGACGTGGCGTCTACAGGCCATGCACTGCTGCTTCCCTGTGCAGGGGGAGAAACTGAGTCTTGTAGTAAAATGCATGCATCTTGGCACTAAAGAAATAAGTCACACACACAAAAGTAGGTACGGCGTAGTTTCTTATGTGAGCGTCCCAAGTATAAATGAAGAGCAGAATGAAAGGTAGGTCGTAAAAAATAGGGAAATGGTCTTTTGAGGAGTTACCAAGAGAGGTAAGGAAGCGAGAGGAAGAAGATGAAGAAGAAACTTAACAAGTGCTATGTACATGTACCAGTTCCCCACAGAGAGTTTCATCGTTGTATTGATAAAAATTGGGAAGATATACTTCGAGTAACCAGTGCTGTGGCCTGACTGAGCTGGTAACAGCTGTCATGTGTTTCAGGGGCTTCCTGTCCTGTGCAGGTGGCCTGCAGGTCCTTTGCTCATCTGTCTTGTCCATCTCCAAAGAACGCTTTGTTCACCTTATCAGAAGTATTCATCATTAGGAACTCTGATAGTTACTCATCCATGAAATGCTGTTTTCTGCACCTCATCTGCAGTGTTCATGTTACAGCCTAGAAGTTTAGGAGCTCTAGTAGTTACTCTATCTCTAAGGTGTCATCGTCAAGCACTTTCTTTTGGGTAACTGCATCATCTCTTTTCAGCTCATCACTTCTAATATCACTTCTATAATGCTTCTTTCAGTCTGCTAGTCACCCCACTTTAACCTGACACTCCCAGAGTCCACAGTCCCTCTAAATCATTTTTCTGGAAATATTCTCAATTCTGTTTGCTTGATAAAACAGCATCTCTGAAACCAACCATTAGTGTTCTATGTATAACTGAATATTTCTGGAAAAATGACACAGTTAAGCAGTTGGATTTTACATAAAATTCTTGACTGCATTGTGTATTCCCTAATTTTGTTCGTTTTTCTCCTTACTCAGAAAAATTTGGAACTTTCCACAGCTCTTTCTCTTGGTTAAGGTATCAGAGAGGGAGTCCCAGCTTTCCATCCTCACATGGCATCTGTACACTCATGATTTCAGTCACTTATTTCAGAGGAAATTTACAGAGGAAAATGTGACTTCTTATAACAAGATGATTAATCCATTTGGGTTCTAGATCTTATCGATTTTAGTCTTCTCAGGATTAAAATAGGTGTTAGTTGGGAACACTGTCACAAGTTTATAATAGCACTCAAGAGGCTGAGGCAGAGGGGATCATTGTGAATTCAAGGCCAGCCTCAAACTGCACAGCGAGTCCCAGTCTCAAAGCAAAAAATGAAGTAGATAAAGATAAGGGAATTCTTCCTACTATTACTCTTTGTACTTTCATCAGTACATATAGTATATTCTAGGTGGGGAAGATAGAGGAGGAGGGAGAAAGGACAGAGCAGGACAATGCTAACAGCTACAGTATGGTGCAGAGCACCATACCAGTGATTGAACATAGTAGGCATTACTATATAGTGAAGGTTTAATCATGTGCATATATTCCAGAGATAGTATAGAAAAGCGTTCAGAAACGATTGTGTAGTTTGTAAGCTGTTATACTTTTTAAATAAATGGCTTTCCTTTAGAATTGTTTTCATTTTATGTCTTCACCAAAATAAGAAAAATAGGAAAAGAATAATACCGAGTTCTATCCTTTAGCAATAATTTGGAGAGTGAAATGGTACCAGTTAGGAAATCTGTTCTTTGTAAAATACACTGTAATATGCTGCTCTTGGAAGAATGATTACTGTTAAGGCTTGTGTGCAGACATCCCTCCAAAGCCTCCTGTGGTCACAGGGCTTGTTTGGAGGTGGCAGAATCTAGAGTGTGTATTGGTGGTGCAGTGCTGGGATTAAAGGGTGCGAGTGGTCACCTGCCCTGGGCCGGCTGGCCTGTGGACAGTGAGGGACTGAAAGAGGCTTCTCCCTGCCAGCTTGCTTGCTTGCTTGCTTGCTTGGTTTGCTGTTACTGACCTTTTCTGCCATGAACTTAAGAAAGCTGCCTTTTGAGTTTCAAAGTTGACTGGTTTGATTGTAAAACCGTACTACCCACCCCCCAAAAAAGAAATTAAAAATATTTAACATCAAAAAGCCTTAGAGCAAGTACCCAAAGTAGCACCTTAAAACTAATAAACCCATAGAAATTTACATGTTTTTATCATTTTGATACAAGTAAGTCTTGGATATGGGCTGCTTTTGCTTTTGGATATGGGTTTTAACAAGTTGAATTGCTCTTTGGTCCTTACTGCCTCTTCTCTAAATTCCTACTTCTAAAGAAACTGATCGCATCATTGCATTGAATATGAAGGAATTTTTGGTTTTAGGGTTAATGTATTACAGTCAACACAGCCAGCTTTGAAAATCAAAAGGAAGCTTTCTTACGATATGTTACAGTGGAAGGTACAAGAGACATGGGGTTCAAAAACTTAAGCTTCTAAAAAAAATTTTGTTGTTCTTGCAGACTGAGTGTTCCTGAAAGTACACCTTTCACAGCAGTCTTAAAGTTTGCTGCAGAAGAAGTAAGTGTGAGCGCTGAAATAACACGTAGAGAATTCCATTTGGCAGTGTGTTTCAAAATTGTTTTCAAAATTACTATTGCCTGCCATTTCCCTGTGGTTTTATGGGGGGCTTGCCGGTTAGCTCAGTTGTTTAAGCACCTGCTTGGACAAACCTGGTCAGGCGCAGGCAGTGGACTGAGGTTAGATCCCCAGCTCCATGTTCCTTGCCAGACCCGCCGGTAAGGCAGCCTAAGCCAGCCCAAAACAACAAAAAAATCCTTCCCTGTGATTTTTTTTTTTTTTTTTAATTTATTTATTTATTTATTTATTTATTTATTTATTTATTTATTTATTTTAGGACTGGGGATAGCTCAGCGGCATGAGTACTTAACCTGACAAGTGCAAGGTCCTGAGTTCCATCCCTGGGTACCGCAAAAAAAAAAAAAAAAAAAAAAAAGATTTTCAGTGTAATGAGTTCCACCTTAAAGTTTGATTTTTTAGATACAAAGTGAATGACAAAACAAATGGGCATATTTCATGGAACCATTGAAAATTATAAGATCTTTCATTGAACTTGAAGGTACCAGTGATATGTAAATTTTTAGAAAACATCAATTTATGTATTCCATAAGCCAAGTTTTTCTAGTTTTAATTCTAAAACTATGATTTAAAAAGTCTTCATTATGTTTTTCATGTTTTCTGAATCACCATGTGGATTGTTACTAAAATTTCTTTTGAAAAATGTCTAGTTTTAAAAACATGGTAGGAAAATTTGTTTTTCAAGACATAAGCATCCATAAGCAACTCTTTGGAAGTAGGTTTTGGAAAAGTAGCTTTATCTGGTACAAATGATGTGAAAATATGACTTACAAGACTTCAGATATGTGTTTTATTTTGCTGCTAAGTAGCAGTGTGAAATGGGGCAGTTTCTCTTTTTTGTTTTGCTTTGCAATGCTTAGGGTCCAAGTTAAGGCCTTGGGACTACTATGCAAATGGTGTGCCACTGACTACAACCTCTGAATACTCATTTTCTTAATCTGTAAAATTATAGTAGCTCATGCCTGTTCTTCCTATCTAGGTGTTTTGTGTAAAAATAAAATATTCACTAAAATTTTTTGGTGAAGTGGAAAGTGCTAGAGAGGCAGAGATTAACTCAAATCAAAATACTTTGATGAAAGATACTTTGATAGAGCATCTTAAGAGAAATTGTGGTCATGTAAAGAACAGTTGTAATAACTAAATAAGAGACCAGCTTAATTCATCGCTCTGCTGTGTTTAAATGACTTAATTGGGAGTCAGCCAACCCATCTGAGTGCTCACAACTCCTCTTAAGCTGCCTTAGAGACCACATCATTTTTTTTTTTACTTACCCAGAATTAAACTCAAAGTGGTGGTATTTGTTTTAAGTTTATCTTGATGTATTTTTTTTTTTCAATCTGTTGTTCTTGCTTGAAGAGTAAATAAAATGAGGTAAGATGGATCTGAGTAAAGTGTCAGGATTGTGTTTTTGCTGCATAGATCTTTTGCAAGAAATATACCAGGGATATAACAGATGACAGATTTAAGAAATAGATCTGAATAAGCTGGTTTTAACTATTACTGTTGTTTTGTGTTTGTAGTTATTCTATAGTTTCTCTTTTAATGTAAGTGTATTGCCACTACGTTAGTCTTTTGTGAATGTAGAAACAAGGAATATGCAGTAGCAAATTAATAAATGTTGTACTACACATACTAATAAAATTTGAATGGAACTCTAAGGACATGATAGTATAGAATCTTTCAGTGAAAACACAAGTCACATTGATACACCAAGAGTCAAGATTTAAATCTCTGATAAAATTCTCTTAATAAAAAATAGAATTTCCCAGTAAGTGATTGGGTTTAATTCACAAAGTCATGAGTTGTCGTAACCCAGGAAGAGCCTCTTAACATCTAATATTGTCAGACTTATGGCATCTGAATAGGAAAACAAATGAGAACTGAGGGACTTAAAATAAATTGCATCCAGGAGAAAACATCCCTGTAATGAAGGACAAAAAGAATGGTAATTGTATTTTCTGTCACTACTGATGCTTCCCAGATTTCACCTTAACTGCTGCTTCCACACTCAAGAAGGAACAAACTATATTAGCAATTGCTTTTGGTTTTAAAATACATTGAGGGTATGGTCAGTGTGACAGAAAATACACAGCTTATCTTAACCTGGGCGTAATCTAAGAGTCTCAGTAAGGTAACTAAATGCTCTGTAGGATTCTTAGTTTTGAAAGTGTGAAATACCCTCTAATTACTTTGAAAGTAAGCTGTTAATTGTTTTTGTCAGTTACATAAAAGTGACCCTTTGTAACTGCCTACCATTATGCTGCCTTTATACATGCCTGGAGCCAGAACCATACACAGAAACTAGTATAGCTTAAAACTTCATTCATCATTTTCTTCTTGGAGATAATGAACTGCATTAGCAGAGCAGGCCACTAGGTTAATATGTTTTGAAACATATTTGATCATAGAACTCATCTACAGTATTTAAAAAATTAGTCCATAATGCACAAATGTTTAATCCTACTTGTTGGATAAATGAATAAATTATGAAAAAATGAAACATTTTGTCAACTGTACGTTCTTACAGTATTAAGTGATGGATTCTCCCTTGTCAATATGTTCCATAGTTTATTTGCTGAATTTTTAATACAACATTTCTGAGATGGGTTTGGGATATTTTACTATGACTGTTGGCTGGGTGGCAGTCAGGAAATTATGGACTTGCACCTGACTGAATTTAGTTGTTATTTCCATGTGATATAATTAGAATGAATATCAGTCCCTTGGGATAGTAAGTCAGAAAATGATATGAATTTTAAGAAACAGTAGGGGCCATGGTTGTTATCTGAGACCTTCAGGAAGTCTCTCACATTAAACACTAGAACATTTATTAGTTAGAAAGAAATTTTAGAAATATGCTCATTAATTTATTTGTACGAGAGAATTATGTATGATAAACACTTGAAATTTGAAACATTGATTTGGCCATAGATTGCTGTTTTTCCATTTGTATACTCCATAAAATATAGGGTGTTTAACATTCATTGTGTCCTTAATAGAGTAAGATACATTTAGGATATAGGGTTTTTTAAAGACAAAACAGTGGTCTTTGATCTTGTTGTCCCTTACTCTCGAATTATAGAATTGGACCTATGTACCCGTCCTTGTCACTCCTCTGGTACCTATCTTTCTTTTTTTCCTTTTAGTTTAAAGTGCCTGCAGCAACAAGTGCAATTATTACCAATGGTAAGAATTTCTTTAAAGCTGTTATCTTTGAATTATGAACATTTTTTAAGAAGAATCTAGTAAAACCTGACTCAAAAAAGCCCCAAATATATATTAACCTAGATGGTGTATTTAATGGTAAAGCACAAGTCGGGACTATTGCCTCCACTTACCTTTATTCAATGTCTTTGTGCTTGGTATATATAGTACTTAATAGTTAGTGATGTCTTTATCACTTAATCCCAGATTATTACTGAAAGTAGCTAAGTGGCTTTCTTTTTTTTTTTTTTTTTTTATTAAGGTGTATGATATTGTCATTTATGTAACATTGTTCTGTATTAGAAAATGCTTTAGAAAACAGTAAAGCAGAAGTGTGTGTATAACTCAGGCCCTTGCACTTGCCAGGGAAGCGCTTAGTCCACTGAGCCATCTCCCTGACCCCCCAGAAGTATATCTGGACTATACCTTGTTATGTTTTGTAGAAAACTTTCTTGTAGGCGTACAATAATTTAGTTGTTCAATTAAAATCTTGAGTATTTTGGGATGCTGATGATAGTTAAAGATGATGAAATTAGTCTGATGAGGACATAGTGCCGTGATAAGATGAGTACTGCAGCTTGTAGGAAGGGCCTGACTTGTCTCCAGCATAGAGAGAGTGGAAGTGTGTGCTGTACACGGTCCCTATGCTGTTGGGGTAGACATCAGAGGAGATGGGTTTAAAATTGGTAGGATGATTATCTTAGGTATGACATTTCTCTCTTTAAAATATTCTGCCTGTTTTCACACTGAAGTTTTATCTGTTAGAAGAAGGCTGGCCTACTTTTTGAAAAGGTGTTAAGGTCACCAGTGATTAACTCACAGGAGAGTGTTTTGAAACTTTCCAAATATCAGTGGAGGTTTAAAGGAATGACTTTGTGATCTCTCTGTCCTTAAGATTTTATGCCTCAGAAGGGTATGGAAACAGTGGCAAACCTGGAGTGCTGTTAGCCTTTTGGAAGAAATGACAGACTTAGGTTTTATTGTGTGTTGCAAAACTATCTTCCCTAGAACTTACTAGAATCATTGCATTGACAGATATTCTTGTCTAATCCCACAGTGTGTATAAATACTTAATAACAGCAAATTTCAGCAGTCAGGTAGCTTACTTGGAAGAGTCTCAGGTGTTGTGGGATTTAAATTGTTCATTTTGTATCTGTGCATGCAAGCAACAGTGTGGTGGCAGATCTCTTCTTGCTACTGTTCTAGCTTTAGAAATAACGTGCATGATTTTTACAACTTATTTTATAGATGGAATAGGAATAAATCCTGCACAGACTGCTGGTAAGTATCTCTGTGAAAACTCATAAAGTATCATTGGAGTTAACAGTATTGATTGTTAATGAATATTTAATTTATTCTAATTTAGGTTCAGGATTTTCATCAGGATGTAGCTATTAGAAATGATAGAGCACTCATATGAGGCTGAATGATAGTCATATCATTACATACGGTAGCTAGACGTGTTTTTGGCTACAAGTAACAGAAAATAGTTATTTTACATTTCTAGATACTGAATCCGCACTAGGATCTTTGTGCTATTAATATGATTTAGTAATACATTAATGTCCTGATCAACAGAGTAAAAAGTCTTACACTTTAGTCTTAAACTTTTACAAAGTGTTTTTATATTTTTTTAGTCTTCTGAGCCAACAGTCTTGTCTTTTGAAATCATACTTGATATAATATAATGTGACATTATTGAGCAGTACCTTTATATTCTAATTTTTTATTATAACAAAATATATTGTCAACATAGACTATAAACTATACAATTTAAAAGTGATTTTAAAAAGTAGTGTTACTAATTCAAGAAATAATTTTAACTGTATACTTTTATTAGTTTAAATCACTGCTTACTCTTTTTCATAATTGAATTGTGTTTGTCATTGGACATGAGGAGAACCCCAAAGGACAGTTGACCCCAGAAGGAACACTGTCTAAATTTTTGTCACTTGCTGTAAATTAGATTTTTTTTCTTCTAGTTTAGTTGTGTATGAAATATTCATGATTAAACTAATTGAGTTCATTGGCTAATTGTATTTGTTAGCATTTTCATGACTGATGTTCAGATTTAAAGTTTGTAAGCACTTGGTGAGTAGTGGAGCCGTGGGAGGAGTAGAAGTAAGACAGTGAAGGCCTGGACGAGGCTTTCTGCGTGCTTACACACATGCCTGCTGGGCTTCCCACCCCATTGTTTGCAGGGTGCAGTAGCTGCTGGGACACTAAGGTAACTTGTCATTTTCTGAATACTAACTTTATGTGTTGTTTGTTTGTAGGAAATGTTTTTCTGAAGCATGGTTCAGAACTGCGAATTATCCCTAGAGATCGTGTTGGAAGTTGCTAATATCTACTGGGAACATATGATTACCTTTCAGAATAAAAATTGCTATTTTAGTGAAAACAGGCTTTCAGCACATAATGAAGACACCCAAGAGTCAAGGAAATAATGA